CCAAAAACAGGAAACATAATCAGTAAAGATTTGTCTCCTTTGACCAACAACCCCCTCCAATAGCTCAATGTGGGAGTTCACCCATAACTAGTCCCTGATGTGCCATAATTAGAAAATTGATAACTCAGGTTTACTGCAATGACATCATATAGGCGTCATTGTACTGAAGACATTAACTTCTTATAGCCAGGCATGCTTATAGCTGCCGTGCAAAACCAACTCATGATGATGGGTACGGCTGTAGGTGTCATAGGTCTGAAATGAGTTGAGTGGGAAAAGCCACTGTACACACCCCCCCCCCCCCCCCCCAGTGCAAAGGCTAGACCGTTGCCAGAAGTCACCAGAATGAGTTGTACAGAAATATCGAGCACAGCCAATGAAGGGTTAAGATAAAACTGAAATTAATAGTTATTCTAAATAATGGCACAGTTGCCTTATTATTGGCAGGTTACTTGGAAAGTACATATTGGTTTTGTGAAATACAGATGGACAAAATAGCAAATTCACATGTAATTTTTGGAAAATTAATGTGTATTTGGTGAAAGAAAGGCATGATATAATGTGGGGGTTAGTGAAGTACATGCACGCACACACACAACACACATGCAAACCCACACACAACACACATGCACATTCACACACAACACACATGCACATTCACACACAACACACATGCACATTCACACACAACACACATGCACATTCACACACAACACACATGCACATTCACACACAACACACACGCACACCCACACACAACACACACGCACACCCACACACAACACACACGCACACCCACACACAACACACACGCACACCCACACACAACACACACGCACACCCACACACAACACACACGCACACCCACACACAACACACAAGCACACACACACACACACACGCACACCCACACACAACACACACGCACACCCACACACAACACACACGCACACACAACACACACGCACACCCACACACAACACACACGCACACCCACACACAACACACACGCACACCCACACACAACACACGCGCACACCCACACACAACACACACGCACACCCACACACAACACACACGCACACCCACACACAACACACACGCACACCCACACACAACACACACGCACACCCACACACAACACACACGCACACCCACACACAACACACACGCACACCCACACACAACACACACGCACACCCACACACAACACACACGCACACCCACACACAACACACACGCACACCCACACACAACACACACGCACACCCACACACAACACACACGCACACCCACACACAACACACACGCACACCCACACACAACACACACGCACACCCACACACAACACACACGCACACCCACACACAACACACACGCACACCCACACACAACACACACGCACACCCACACACAACACACACGCACACCCACACACAACACACACGCACACCCACACACAACACACACGCACACCCACACACAACACACACGCACACCCACACACAACACACACGCACACCCACACACAACACACACGCACACCCACACACAACACACACGCACACCCACACACAACACACACGCACACCCACACACAACACACACGCACACCCACACACAACACACACGCACACCCACACACAACACACACGCACACCCACACACAACACACACGCACACCCGCACACAACACACACGCACACCCGCACACAACACACACGCACACCCGCACACAACACACACGCACACCCGCACACAACACACACGCACACCCACACACAACACACACGCACACCCGCACACGCACACGCACACACAATATACACGCACACGCACACAACACACACGCACACCCACACAAAACACACACGCAACACACATGCACACACCATCTTTGCACTCCATGCACAAGCACATACTCGTGCATATACTTGAGTGAGAGAGAGAGAGCGAGCGAGCGTGTGTGTGAGAGAAAGATAAAGACTGATTATAAAAGTAGGAGGCAAGCCTCCATCTGTTTTATTTATTCAATGCAGGAACAAAGAATATGTCAGGTTAAAATCACTGCTTAAAGGGAATTTTGTCAATAGCCACCACTATACATGTGTATATGGAATTAGAGAAAAATCTGTCTAATAGATAAATGAAAGTTGCTCCTGATGTTCAGTATATAACAAATTTTTATATTTTGTATTAGGAAAAAATTGTCCTGTTAAAAGTTAATTTTCCTTTTGCCCTCTATATTTTATTGCATTACTCATATACCCCCACATTTGAAGTCCTAGAAATATGATGAAAACAAAACAGTCAAAATCTCAGCCAAAGGTGTTAGTGTATAATAATACTTAAAAAGTGAAAATGTCAGGCCAGCCTATTGCATGTCTGGAGAGGATTTTGCATGCATTTTATCTTACTAATTTAATCTCTAAGTTTGGTTTGGGAATGGTTTGTCTTATTAATTATAGAATGTGGGAATTTGCCAAAGTTTCTGAGAATTATTTGCATGGCAAATAATTTGGCAGAACGAGAGATTTCTTGGTAAGCCAATTTCCACATTCATCTGGTAAACTGAGGTTCACATTTGACTTGCAGGGGGCTTCGTTGGCGATGGTAAGGTGAGTGTGATGGCTGACTCTCGACCACCACCACCACCACCCCAGGCCACCTCCATCACCAGCACCACTATCACCACCCCAACCACCACCACCACCACTGCTGCAGCTGCCACACTGGCCACCTCTGTGCCTGCAGAGATAGTCCCGGTCAGGGACTTCAACGTGCCTCCACCCATTATTTCTTCGCAGAACCAGCAGGGAGCTCCTCAGGGAGGCCAGCAGATGTTCCACCAACCTTATCTGTCAGCTTCCCCTAACAACCCCCCAATATATAACCCACATATGCCCCCCCCTCCACACCCGCAGCCTCCGCCTAATAACTTGTACACTCAAATCCCGCCGCCTACTGTTTTGCCTCATGGAGCAACGGTTTATGTCGCTAACTGTCACGTCAACCTTTCCCCCTATAATGGAGGTCAGGGGCAGGCACCCGTTATCACATCAAATGCTGGACCGTCTCAGTCTCCTCCGGCTGCCCCTGTCATGCAGTCTGTGCCAGTCATGTCTGATCAGCCTGCTGTGCATGTGCCTCCCGTTGTCAAACCTATGCATGAGAATAAGCCAGAGTTTGAGAACAGGAGGTTTGACCAGTTCCGAGGGGGCCACCGTGGGCGTGGGCGTGGACGTGGACGTGGGAAGCGCAACAACAGTGAGAGGAGCAACTCGGTCAGTAGTGACCACTCAGGGTATGGCAATGAGAAACACTACACAGATGGCATGGGACCCCCCCAATATGGCCACGTGGCTGGACCCTATATGTATCCAAATGTGCCGTACCCAATGCGTGGAGCCAATTATCCACACTACCCTAGTGTCCCAGCTGCACAAACTGTTCAAGGTGTACCACTTATGTACCAGCCTCAACAGTACTCCCATTATGTACAGTATCAGGCTCCAAACCAGGGCCACATGATGCCCTACCAGCAGCAGACAATGCCTCCTGGCTCGCAGCATCCCAGCACACTCCAGCACATGCACCATCAGCTGCCACATCACCAATCTACACACCAGCCCCCGCAGCAACCTCCACATCACCACCAGCCTCCGCCGCCTCTACAGCACCAGCAGCCTCCGCTTCATCATCATCAACAGCAGCAGCCGCATTACCCACAACATGAGCCACAGCAAGTTCATGTACCTCATCAGGATCAATTTCACGTACCAGCACAGCCACAGCAGCATCAGCAGCCTCCCCCTCCACAGCCACAGCCACCACCCCCTCAACAGCCTCCTCCTGCAGTATTGGAGCCCCAGCAGCAGCCACCAGTAGCTCAACACACACAGCAGCCGGCAAACTACGAACCCCAGGAAGCTCCATTGCCAGTAGAAGGCCAAACCAATGGGCAGTTTGTGGCCGACTCTCAGGCTCCTGCTTCACAATTTGAAAATGATGGTTCAGGTGGTGTACAGCCAACAGATGGAGCATCAACTTCAGCGGAGATGCCTATTGCTATAGCAGAAACAGATAAGTCTAATTCCCTCATCACACAGACAGCTGCCTTGTCCTTAGAAGATCCTGTAGAATCAGTAATCACTAACATTCCTGCAGAACCTGAACAACCAGTTCCAGACATTCAGGAGAATATTCCTAATTCCACTCAACTGGTTTATGAGGAAAACCATGCTCCAGTCTCTCCCCCCATAGCCAAACCAGTCACAACCCCGGACATGAAGGAGGTTAAATCTCTCTCCAACAAGCCTCATTCTGCTCAGAATGGATTGGGTTCATCTGGTAAGCCCCCTGTGCATGAGCCTCAGATTCTAATCCCCAACTTCAATAAAGGGAAGCACATGCAGAAGCTGGCTGTTGACATTACCGGTAATCATACTACTTTGTCCGAGATAACCTTCATGTCGGATGAGATTCAACCTAATGTTGATCCTCAGGAGCCAGTGGAATTTGTGCCGGTTCCCAAAGCAGCCGTGATCATTCCACCTGCAGTCTCCCAGAGTGTTTCCCCAGTCAATGTTCCTTTCAAAGCTTCCCCTCCTTCAAGTGTGGAGCCTCCAGTCCCATCAGGAAACAAGAGCATTGCCTCCTCTTCATGGGCAGCAAATGGTGGGACAGTGGTAATAGCTGGTGATGGTGGGGTGGTGCCACCCAGTACTCCATCAGTGGCCAGTCCTGCTCTTTCAGAAGTGAACAAGAAGGAGGCTGTGATGCCCGAGATGGCAGCCAGTGCCCAACCCGGTGGAGCTTGGGCTCAGAAGAAGAGCTGGTCCCAGTTGTTTAAGCCATCCGATGAAGGAGCAGCCAAGCAAGTGGCTTATGTTGCACCCTTCAACCAGGAGACAGAGAAGCTTCGGGAGGAGGCAACAGAGAAGGCCCCTGACCAGCCTACATCGGAAGTGGATCTGGATAAGGTCAAAATTGGAGGTGAGTCATCCGCTATGATATAGTTCAGTTGATGGATTCTTTTGTATACCCTATATTATGTGCTTCTGAAATGTATGATGGGTTTTATTTATTCATCTTGGAAAGAATTTTTGTTTAGAAAAATTAAAATGTTAATGACATGCATACTTTTATATAGAATTTTGTGTATTAGAAAGCCTTCAGACAGTTTTACCCTGATATGCAATTAATTAAAGTACTGTACCTTCTATTCTCTTCCCTCCCCCCTTTTTTTTGTGTGTGTTTTACAAAAGGCATGTTGCGAGAGTACAACCAAGACCATCGCCAGGTTGCTCTTCAGCCTCGAGGACTGATCAACAAGGGATATTGGTGCTATGTTAATGCTCCTCTGCAAGCCCTGCTAGCCTGCCCTCCTTTCTATAATTTAATGAGAAATGTGCCCAACATTGCTGGGCTCAAGAAGGGCAAATCTTCAACACCAGTTCTGGATAGCATGTAAGTCTCCTAAAGTTTTTCTTCATAAAAAAAAGAAAGAAAAAAAACACACAAGAGAGAGAAGCATAGAAAATGTTACAAACATAATTTATTAATTGCTGCAACTATTTTCAGTGTGGAGTATGTAAATGAGTTCTCTGATATGGCTCCCATGCTGAGGACAAGCAAGAAAGACAAGAACAATTCAGCTGCACGCAAAGAACCAGAAATAGTCAACGGCCCGCCATTCGAACCATCATATGTCTACAAGATGTTGGCCTCCTTGAGTGGGGAAATGTTTACTGAGGGTCGACAACAAGATGCTGAAGAGATGCTCTCCGTTGTCTTGAATGGCTTGCACGAAGAGGTGAGAGATTTAGGGGATCCAGCTATACCTGACTTTTGGTAATACTCTTAGCTAAGATAATGTAAAGGAAATAATTGGTAGAATTTGACAGAACAGGCTTTCTTGGAGGATGAAAATGTTGTTTGCTCAGTCAATTTCCTCAATAAAGATTGCTAACAATAAGTATCATGTTCTTTCTGAAAAGATGGTGGAAGCCTTGAAACTGGTAAATGAGAATACTGCAGCCTCGGGCAGCAATTCCGTCAATGGCTCCGTAAACGGGGAAAATGTATCGGACAACGAGGAGATGTCAGATGATGATGAATGGCAGGTAAGCTTTAAGATTACAGGTGACAAAATCTTTGTTATTACTAGAAATATCTTGTTAGTTACTGATTTACAGCATGGTTCCAGTAGTTACATGTATAGAGAAGACCCAGTATTTGTATATAGTTCTATACAGTATATTCTAAAACTTCTTGTGAAATCTTGTATATTTTGAAAATTTAAAATACATATAAAGGTGTTCTGATCTTATTGATAAAGAAAATACTACTTACAGGTAATGGGCCCACGCAAAAAGTGCTGTGTGACCCGTAGGGCTCACTTCTCCCCAACCCCCATTAGTGCCATATTCTGGGGGCAGCTAAGGTCTGTTCTACACCAAGCAGGAGGCCAACCTACTGCTAACCTGCAACCATTCACCACACTACCATTAGATATTCAGGTGAGCAAACCTCACTAGGATTTCTATTAGTGATAGATTGATTTGATATATTTAGGGTGGGTGGGGAAGGAGGCTCAGAGTTTATATCCTATGGCATGATTCAGTGACTTCGCAGTCTTATTTTGGGGAATTTCTTTATCTGAGATTTTGTCAGTTTTTAAACTACACAAACTTTTGAAATCAAAGTTTATTGTGGGTGCTTAGGTACATATATTAAGGTTTGTTCCAATCTCAATATTTTTTTGAGAGTTCATCAGCTTTCCCTTATAGCTTTTTAATGCAATTTCTTTATTATATGTCCATTTGGCGGTTGTCTATGTAGTACAAGAAGTACTTATATTCCTACCAATAAAGTTTGTCTATTCCAATTATTACTGGAAGTCTAACATTTTGATACGGTTTTTCATCTGTGAGTATTGATTTTGGAAAGATTCAGCTTACTTTTTTTTTTACAGTCTCCCAAGGTTGAGAGTGTTAGAGATGCTTTAGAGCAGCTTGTGAGCCGTGAGGAGATTCCAGATTTTACATGCTCAAAGACGAACCAGGAGGTAACAGTGTGCAAACAGGTAAGAAAATTGTCGTGGTGTTTGGAAGAAATATTTGTATTTAAGAGATGCATATATTTGAGGTTTCAGTAAATGATCATTAAGTTACTTAATCATATTATATTTGATTTAATGTTTGTGATATTGAACACCTGGATAATGGAAGAAGACAGAGTAAACAGACTTCAAATTTAATGATATAATATGGGGTTAGATGTGGGCGGATGAAAGTGGCTGAGGAACATGAAGGGAGGGAATGACCATGTTGAATAACTGCTACTGGGGGTTCCTTGTTTTGATTTCCAGTTAAATTTGTCATTGACTCAAGTTCTAAGTAAGATGCCAAGCAAGCATAGTGCATCAGGAACTTTCATATTTGTAAAAGAGAAAAATATGGGTTTTAATTTTTTGTTACTCTGGCCTTAGGTATTCCTGGAGCACCTCCCTCCAATCCTAATTCTGCAACTCAAGAGGTTCATCTATGACAAGGATGGTGGCCTGCAGAAGATCATGAAGAAGGTCAACTTCCCCATAGACTTAGAAGTGACCAAAGGTAAGAAGATCAAATTGGGGATTTGAATCTGTTGTGCAAAAATCACTTTGGATTCAGGTTTTTGGTTAGCAAGGTTTCCAGGATTTATCCACAGAAGTAAAAATTAGATATATATACCTTAAAGAATCTATAGTAGGACAAGGTTTATGTAAACTCTGAACCTTTTATGATGATGATGATAAATAACGATTTAGACTTGTGACTACAGCAAATTACTGCTGTCTGTCTGTTGTGCTTCTAAAGTGTAAGAAATGGCTGTGGTTGCCATCCACTGGCAATGCAGGATTTAAACGAGGGTTAGCAAGATTGCTAGACAAGAACACTACCACTGTACCACACAGTATATGCATTGATAACTAATAGAAACTTTGTTTTCAGAATTGATGTCAACCAACAGTCGAGGGAAATACTCGGCCCAACAGAAGAAGTACAAGCTCCTGGCTGTTGTATACCATGACGGGAAGGAAGCCACTAAAGGTCACTACATCGCAGATATATATCATGGAGGTTACACCTGCTGGTTGAGGTATGACGACAGTTGTGTGAAAGCTGTTCCAGAGGCCAGTGTCCTTCGCCATGCCGCACCCAGGGTGCCCTATCTCCTTTTCTACCGTCGTGGAGACACCATGACAAGGCCATCAACGAAAACCAAATCTTGAGGACCTTGCTGAACATTAAGAGGCCAGGACTTGCAGATTCCTCCCATGGGAGAGAAGCCCTTCGTCCTGAGGTCCATGGTGTGCTCAGATCAACCATCTTGGGAAGGGAGAGTATGGTTACCTGGCCCCACCTATCCTTGGTATGTTCTGTTCAAGCAGTGCCTGGATTGCGGGAAAGGCATTGAATTACAACACCACGTGCAAGGACACCAGAAGTAGCCAGCAGCATGAAGTTAACAAGTGTCCATAATCTGCTTAACCTTTTGTACCCAAGGAATGTTGAATACTCATGATAATGACACTAGTTTATTTTAAAGGAAATTTAAACATTTGAGAATTAGTTCTTTGCGTCAAGTTTGTTATAAACAATATATATCTCTATAGTTAGTTTCACCAGACAAGACATAGTAATAGGTGTTTCTTGATGAACATCTCAAAGATAGATGAAAAGAAAACAAGAAGGAAGAGTCACTGAAAAAAGATTGTGAGTGGAAAGATATTAACATCAAATGCAAATGGAAAAATGGAACTTGCTTTTTTCGTGAGCGGTTTTGTAATAGCCAGAGAGAGTCAGAGCTATTTACAAATGACAATGGACTCCAATTGAAAGAGGTGTCAAGGGGTTTATCCTCTTTGTAGGCTTCCATTATTCGTTTGGATGGAGAGTGGGATGTGGTGTGACTTGATTTAGAGAATTACATACCATTGTTGACCAAAAAAAAAAAATGAAAAATAAAAAAAGAAAAAAAAAGGAATAAAAAAGAAAAAAAATGTGATAACAGTGGCCATGAGTTACACTGTTAATTTGTGTGCTTGTATGTCATTGTGATTGGGTCTTTAGGTATATTGTTGCAAATTTTCAACTTTGGCTCTGGGTTACTGTTAATGACATGTGCCTGTCTTTAAAGTGTTCAGATATGGCCCACTTTGAAACAATAATATATATTGAATTAAATGCTATCAGTGTGGCAGATATGTATTGTGCATCTGTCAAATTTACCTAGCTCTAAAAAAAAAATCATAGGTATATACTATTATAATCTTGGAAAAGTAATGAATTAAAAGATGATGACTTTCACTTTTTTTTTTTTTTTATCTAGTTAGAGAAAACATTTTATAATATTCAGAAGAGTATAAAGAAATATCAGATTGTTAGTAAGCCCTTGAGAATGAACAACAATTATTGTTGAATGTATTAGCTAGCCATAAGATTTTTTTTTTATTATGAAAATTCATGGTTCTCAATATTTGTGCAACAATACATTTTTTCATGAATTTCAAGGGTTTGGTTATTTTTCACTGCATTGTCAGTATTTGATTGAAAGATTCAGAATAGTTATTTGAAGTATTATTTAGATGCTTCCAGACCAGTTAGACAAACTCTTCATTTGGGAGTGTTACAAGTGAAGTTAAGAAAAATATGGTGTTGAAAGGGATCCCTGAACTCTTTCAAGTTTTTTTTTTTTTTTTAGGACCAGATCGTAAAAGGTGCCATAGGGGGCACAGGCCAATTACGGCCACCCAGATGGCACAATGCCTTCTTATAATGTAGAGAGAGAGAGAGAGAAGCTTATATTCCTGTCCCTTTTCCCTCCAGAACTTGCTAAGTGGCTGCCACGTGTCTGTCATGCCGCCCAAGTCATGTAACAATTCTCACCTCTTGACTTCGTGTTTGCTCTGGCCCTCAAGCGTCTCCAATGGAACCAGATGTAAAGGAGGTTGTAGTTTTGTGTTTATTCACGTCTGACGAGGATTTTTTCCTCCTGTGACTGCTTCCCCCTCCCCCCTCCCCCCTCCCCTTCCTCCCTCTTTCTGTTCGACGCATAGTATTTGCCACTTCAGCAAATGGGGGGTGGGGGGAAGCCGTATAAGTGGGCTGGGTCAGGACTTTGCGGTCTGTGGGAAAATTATCATCACTATTTGTTATGGTTAATTTTTTTATTTTTACACTGATTGGCTGTTCAATACAAACTAGTCAAAGAAAGAAAGAAAGAAAGAAAAGGTAAATAAAAGGAAATGTCTCCTAAGCGTAGACAAGATTCTCAAATTAGAATATGTAATGGTATGTAGCATATTGTTGTAGCTAAGCTTACTTATTATCTGTGAGAGGAAAACAAAATCAAAATTTTTTAGAGGATTTTTTTTAAATGTACTCGAAGCAAACCGAAGCAGAAGGAGCAGTAATCATAAATATTCAAGATTTGTTTTAGACTAAAGCTACTTTATTACATTTTCTAGCAAACTTTATTTACTGATTAACTTTAGTATGTTGCATTTCACATGAAAGTGTTTACTACGTCCGTTTTTTTTTTTTTTTTTTTTTTTTTTTTTTTTTTTTTTTTTTTACGGCTAGGAATTGTTTTCCTCTTAAACTTAGGTTGCATTTTATTTTTTTGTTTATTTGTTTATTTTCATTATTATTTTTTTTTTTTTCTGATTTTTTGTTTTTGTTTTTGTTTTAACTTTTTAGGTCCTAATTGGGAGACATCTTCACAGATCTCCTATAATACAAATGAAAAATTTACTGTGTCATTAGTTTTATTATTATCATTATTATTATGAGTATTAGTATTTTTATGATTATGATTATTATTATTTTTACTATTACTGTTATTACCATTACTATTGTTATTGATATTTTTGTTTGAATTTTCTTTGTTATTTTTGTGTAATGCACACTTCATATTTATTATCTTTTATTATATTATTTTAAGGCTGACTGTTATTTTTAAGCCAGTATCCCATGAGTATTTGGCCAAAGTTGCTAGTAGTGTTTGTCTGTTGTGTTCCAAGGATCCCTCTTTTTTTAAATTATGTAGAAAAGAGATGAAAAGAAAAGGAAAAAAAAAAAAAAAAAAACTTAAAACTGATGACTGTGTTGAGTCAAACCCGAGCCTATTCCTATTTTATGAAGCCTGAAGTGATCGTGTTGTCGTCGATGGTGTAGATATCCCGTATACTTAATGGACCGCAGTGCATCACCTTATTGAGAAGTTATTGCAAGTGAATGATGGTGATGGAGCGAGAGCTTGGCAAAATGTGAAAGAAATGTAACAGCTTGGAGGGAATTTCACCCGTTTGATCTCGTTTTAGAGTGTGTGATGGGGCCTGATGTGGTTCTTTGTGATTTATGGGAGTCCGGCCTCATTTTCTTTTGTTCTGTTTCTATTCTGTTCCTTTTCGTTAATAGATACCTTATATCTGAGCAAAATGTGTGTATTTACAGATCTCACACATTGCTTGTCATATTACACATTACATCATACTGTACACATCACCCCAAACACATCTCCCCATTGCATACACTTTGTTATATACATTGTGTATATATGTGTATGTGAGCTTTTGTTTTCTGTAAGTGTTTACACCTTTTACTTGTTTTAATTTCTTTCTCTACCTAATGGTTCTCATGCAGCAAGCTTGAGATACAGTTTTGCTAGAACCTTGTGTCTCAGGCAGTGGCCTTAACTGGCTGTGTGGTTCTGAAGATTGCTTTGCATCACATGTAAGGAACTGCTTGTATATACAATAAATTGGCACTCTAGGTGTGCTTAAGTCCACTGCTATCTGTACTTTTGTCTTTAACAAAGAGTCAAATTCAGCAATCACTTGCTTTTTTTCTTCCTTCGGAAACGGTCAATGTTATCTCGGAATCAGATGTGCATTGTTTAGACTGAGGGCACACAAGATTATAGAATACAATTTCCAGAGATAATCTTCTGTTTACTCTCCAAATCTTGGTCAACCTTCACTAGTTCAGTCAGAGAGCAGCAGCAGATTGTCAGAAATGCTTTTCTCTCCACAGTAAACATGCCTTAACCACACATACACTGATGAAAAGCATCTATCAGCTCAAGGTAGGGACTCCTGAGGACATCTGTGGAGTACATTGAACAACTAAACAAGACTGTGTACATAATCATCTGTACTTGACTGTAGGATAAATAGATTGGCTGATATGTGATACTGAGTTTCTGTTCAAGACACTTATCCTCTTGTAGGATAGTATCTACACTACTGTGGTTTTCCTTTGATGTCAGCAGGGTGGCAGTGTTTTTGCATTTCCATTTTAATGATTTACTTTTTTGTATTATATATTTTTTATTTATTACACATATCTTTTTAGTTAGTTTAATCATTGGTTTACATATTTCATGCACCTGTTCCTTATCATTCATTCTGTATTGGGAGGGGTCCTGTATCTTCCAACTATTGTATTTGCTCAGAGGTGTGACTACTGAGAATATATAAATTGTCACACTAGTAAAACTTAGGTTATTTTAATTTGTTATTTTTATATCTTTCCTTCAGCCTCTTCATATATTTTAATGCTTTGATATTCAGCAGTTGTAGGGTTTGAAAGTGTAATTAAAAACTAAACTTACAAAATGCACTGAAAAAGGAAATAATGGTTAGGTAATTTACAACTATCTTTTCAATATTTTCTCTCGAGTCATGTAGACCATTACTGCTCAAAGATAGCTTAATTTATTTTTATTCCAGATTGCAAAGAAAAAAATTACATTTACATAATGTAAAAGGATATAAATATGAAATTTTATAGTATTTAACCTGTTTTAAAAATGGAAATGATTTAAAAAATAGGATATAACTGAAAAATAAAACGGCAGTTCCAAAGCACACAGTGAAAAAGTGCCGTCGAGCCGGCAAAAGCCAGCTAACTAATGCTAAACTCCAAAAGCACATTGAAATTATTTTTTTTGCTGTTACTCCCATACTGTGAATTCTTCTGTGAATGTCATGTGTGCCTATTTGTCAGTGTCAGTGATCAGTATTGATGCCATCTAAACTTGGACTGTCAGTTTTTTTGTTTTTTTTCCCCCTTCTTTTTCCTCCCAAGGTATATTATTTCTTCCCTTGAATATGCAGTATATGTATATATACACACTTGGTTCTAGGACTTCACTTTGGACATTCATCATAGGGTGTAACAGGACCTAGACTGTATCAGGTTGAACTCAAAGATTTGTGGAATGAAGTATTGCTTAAATGCTATGACAGCTTCATTGTAGAAAAGTGTAAACAAACATAGGAGGTACTTTTAGGGACCATAAAGCAGCAGTGCAAATTTTTTTTTTTTTTTTTTTTTTTTTCCAAGTGAATATATCATTTTTGTTGAGCAAAAATGATTTATAGTGAATGCAATGGAAAGGTAGAGGAAGGAGTGGAGTTTAGAAAATATCAGTTATGTGAAGTTGACGATAATTTTTTATTTCATTGTTGGCACACATGAATCGAAAACTCTTTAGGATGATATTTAAAAGCTTTCTGCCTTGTCTTTATTTGTTTCGTTGCTGCTATACTGGTGAGATTTAATGCATTTTGAATGTGTGGCTTCTTTGTACTTTTTCCTTGCAAGTAGTGGAAATGTGAGAGTTTAGGTGGCATCTTCATAAAATACAGGTTGGAGATTTCTGATATATATATATATATATATATATATATGTATATGTATATCTATGTATGTATATGTATATGTATATATATATATATATATATGTATATGTGTATATATATATATGTGTATATATATATGTGTATATATATATATATGTGTATATATATATATATGTGTATATATATATATGTGTATATATATATATGTGTATATATATATATGTGTATATATATATGTGTGTGTGTATATATATATATATATATATATATATATATATATATATATATATATATATATATATATATATATATATATATATATATATATATATATATAATTTTTTTTTTTTTAAGATGGGAATCATTTTGAAAGTTTTTGGTGCCTGATGCTAATATACCAGAAGTGCAGAGATACTGTGGTAGTTTTATATATATATATATATATATCATCATTGGGGCACAGCAAATTGTATATGCCCAAGTGTGTGCTGAAAGAGGTGGTCTTGATACAGGGCACTTTTTTTAAGCATTAGAAACATTACTCTGACTTGATCCATGTAGCTATAGATGTTCCCCCTGATTTCCTCTATTATTAGTCGGGTACATATCCTGGATAAAGCCTTCATTTGCCCTCAATGTGATGTAGGCACTTGGTAAAGTGTTTTCTGATTGTCAGAGTCCTAGACTTCTGATTGGGCTCTTTGCTAAGCCAGTCAGCAGCTTGAGTGCCTAAGAAGTGTGTCTAGCGCTTATAAAAGATGAACACACCTCAAGTTGATGGCAGCATGTGGCTGCTTCTCGGGAGCACGTGGCCACTCAGTCTGGGCTCTATGCTCACAAGTCTGACAGGGTGATCATGTGCCACATCGTGAGTGTTGTGAGTATCAGTTGCAGTGCTGCAAGTGGAGTGCATCGTGAGTGAATGGATGGATGTAGGAGGAGAGAGTCTGCTTTAGTTTGATGCAGAATTTTGTGAAAGAGAATGATTTAGGAATGGATTGAACTCTAGTTCTGAATGCTGGCAAGACGGTTACAATGGACTTCACAGTAGCAAGAGCAGGATAAATCTTTTTTTTTTTTTTTCATGTACTTTTTATTTAGAAATTGTTATTTCATCAGCTGTTGATGATTCTAAGAAATAGCAAGATTTTATTATTTTATTTTTTTCTAGAGACCAACATTTAGTCTTTAACATTTTATCAGGTCCACGAGATAGACTCTCATCCTCATGTTCATAGAACTGTGAATCCTTTAGATGTAAATCAGTAGAGTTGTCCATTGTACAGGCCATCGTAACCATATTTGTCCATCATATTACAACGATATTTTTCATCAGCCTGAGGTGTAATCATCAACAAGGAAGGGAATGATATATACATAGACTTATATATATGACTGGTAGTTCCTGTATTCTGCTCTTGAGAACTGTGAAGTCCAGATTTATTTTTACTGAGTGAGATTTTATATACAAGTTCTGTTTTAAGTAACATGTCTTGCACTGAAGATCACAAACTGTTCTCAGCAAAGATGTTCTTTTTGGAGGTAAGGGCAATAGGGTTTAATGCACAGTGGTGGCAAGTTTTATTGCAGTGTAAAAGGATATTATTGCAGTTTGTAAATCCTATAAAGACTGGTGTAAAGACATTAGATATATATCGTATTCAGTATTCATCACTAGTTGGGAAGAAGTCAGTGTGGCAGTAAATATGAAAAATAAGACACAAACCAAAAAAATGTGATAAAATTTAAAACTACTTTTGCTTTACAGTACTAGATGTTGTATGGACTTACCGTGCATACTTGTAATAGTTTACAGGAATTCCATTCTATTTTACCTGTAATCCAACAGTTAATAAAGAATTAAAATTTTCCTCATATAATATTCTTTTGAAATTAAAGAAATTAAAACATCCTCTCTGTCCTGAGATCTGTTGATGTTGTGTTCAGTTTTGTATACCTTTTTGCATTCAAATAATATTGCAACAGAAGTCACTGTTTTAGTAGATTAATTTCTTATGAATGTGCTAAAGGACAAACTTGATATTCAGAAAGATAGGGACAGATACCAAATACCTGCTCAATTCTTAGTATTCTTTAAAAAAAATGTTAAGATCTGTTAAGTTTGTCAGATAATTCAAAACAAAAAGTGCAGGTTCGTTACTGGACATCTGGTAGCCCTATTCTTATTTTACTGTGATTTGAAAGTTCCAACATAAGCATCTTCGGTGAGAAGTTTGAAGTGCCCAGGCATTCAACTGTAAAACGTGTATTTGTATGAGAATTAAGAGATATTGTACTGTATATATTATCTGTTGAAACAATAAAGGAAGCCTAAAGTTAATTTTTGTTTGAATTCTGTCCTTTCATGGGACCATCTTGGTTATTAATTAAAATATAGATGAAAATAGTGGGTGTGTTGTTCATCAATCTCCCTTCCTTTCATTTCCCCTCTCCTCTCTCCCCCCCCCTCCCCCCTCCCCCCCTCTCTCTCTCTCCCCCCCTTTCTCTCTCTCTCTCTCTCTCTCCCCTTTCTCTCCCTCTCTTCCTTTCTCTCTCTCCCTCTCTCCTTTCTCTCTCTCTCTCTCCTTTCTCTCCTCTCTCTTCTCTCTTCTTCTCTCTTCTTCTCTCTTCTTCTCTCTTCTTCTCTCTCCTCTC